ATTTAAAAAATGAATTTTATTAAAAATTGTGAAAAGATGTGGTCCTAAAATGGTATTTGAATTGAATACTAGATGCATGTGACATGAATGTTGACTATATATGCAATCAGGGAGTGGAGTGTGCTTTAGTCCTGTATAAAGGAATATGACATCTTTGATGCATACTACCTGTTATGGATTGTACTTTGACATGCTTTAACTCTTTACCGCCTCTGTGGTGTAGTGGTTAGAGCGTCCGCCCGGAGAGCAGAAGGTCGCGGGTTCGATCCCCAACCGCGTCATACCAAAAGACGTTAAAATATGGTACTTGTTGGTCCCTGCCTGGCGCTCGGCATTAATGGGTACAACAAGGACTGGTCGGTTCGGAGTCAGTATAATGTGTCTAAGTGGGGTATTCATGCTTCACTGCGGCATGGTATCTCAGTGGGCTAGCACTATAAAACTAGCTTAAGTCTGGGCTAGTGCAAGCAGCCGCACATACACATACACACGCATGCATGTCGTCATATGAGCGAAATATTCTCAAGCATGACGTAAAACCCAATTTCACCTCACCTCACCTTTAACTCTTTACAAACGCTGACTGACAAAAAATATATTTGTAAACAAATTATGCTGAGAGCGACAAGAGGTTAATTGATTGGCCAGGGAACGTGACATCTTTGATGAGGGATGGAGCAGGTCCATGAAAGGCTGCTGTAATGAATACTATACAAGGTGTTGACAAGGTCAGGATGTTTGTAGATACCCAGTCTACCCTTATTCTCTGCGTGAACTGGTCCATGTACACTCGCAGCACAGACTGTTAACTGTTTAATGTGTATTGCTAGTCAGGGCACATTTTGATTTGGGCTTGCCCACATTTAGAAATAGCTCTGGTGTCTTAGAAAAACTATGCTGTATGTGTAGACCTCCTGTTTTAGCCTTTATATAATTAAATCTGAAGGATGTGTTGACTTGATGTTTAACTGTTACATAATACTTGGCAGTATTCCAGCTGTGTCACAGTAATCTGTACAGAACTTAACCAAACTATCCTGTGACGGACATCATGAGCATTCATCCACGTAGTTGTGAAATACTGTCAAATCAGCAAGCCACCAGTGCCCGATCCACAAAGTGTTCGTAAAGTTACAACCTGTCGTAACTCTTTAGTTTTCATAGACTTATGAATGTCATAGCGCTACGAACACATAATGGATCGGGACCCACTCTGGTCCATCTGGATCTTTTTTTTTGTTGCATGGGTGGCTTAAAAGACCATGCTATATCTAGATCTTTATGGGTTGATGTTAGTGTTCGCATAATCATGCAGATTGTAAGATTGATGGAACGACCATCCTATGTTTTACAGCTAGGTCTATCTCCGAGAGGGGCTGTTGATCACTGTATTGTCTGGTCCAGACTCGATCATATACATACCTCTGCCATATAGCTGGAATATAGCTGAGTACCGTGTTAAACAACAAACCAAAACTCTCCAAGGGGGTCAGGCAGCATTGTACCCTGGTCTAAACTGTAAACATTATTCCCAAGCAGATGATGCAATCTCCCTTGGCCATACATGGCTTTAAAGGTCTTGGTTTGAATCCCATATGTGACCATATTGTGATGACCTGGTTATTATCACCATACACTGATTCACTTAACTTCTTACAACCTGTGTTATAACCTGTTTTATAACCTGTTTTATGGTGGTGATGCCTACTAAAACTTACCTCACAGAAAATGTGTCATCATTTTATTTTAAAAAATTGACCGATTCACCAGATGAAGTTCAGGCTTTGTCGTCACCATAGCTGTGTCCCCAATATGTTAAACATTCATCACCTTCGTTACTTGTAACACTATTCCTACTTCAACCTAAAATGCTGTGATATCACAGAAATATGGTCCAGCGTGTCAGTCAATCAATCAATCAATCAATCTAATGTAGCATTCTTATTATTAAATCAGGCTTCTCTAACTTCAAGTGTTGCGGTGTATACACGTGTTGAACATGGATGTTAACACTACATTGTGTTGTGAGCTGTTGTGTGCTGGCAGCAGTGTGGGGTATACGCAGGTTATTGACCGGCCGCCAACCGCCACTACACACATCCACTCTATGCTGTTCATTATACTAGTGATAATCTGGGGAATGTGATAAGGGGGATATGAACTTCATGACCAAGGAAGGTTATTGAAATGCTGCACACCCCATCACACGATATAGGGGAGCCTCAACTATGTCTCAATGGAAACCAGATGGAAAATATTGCCCCTATTATTGAAAGCTTTCCTTGATATAAAGTCCATAGAATATGCAAGGTGGATATACACATTGGATAGAGTTGCTGGTTGAATTGTTGACTCTGCAATGCTGATTGATAGAAGAAGGTGTGTGTTTAATATGCTGGGCTTGTGATCTGTGGCTTGTGCTACAGGATGTTCACGCATCTACTCCAAGTTGGGGTCGAGTTGGTGCACTAAAGCCTCTCATGCATAAAGTCTGTAACGGAGTCACAACAGGCGTCTGTGGTAATAAGACATGACAGTAAGCACCTAGACAGGGAGAAGCCAGCGTGATGTCCCTGCACCCACCAGCATCCATCCACATGTGCTACTGACACGACAACACAGCCTGCTGCCTGCCTGCCTCCCTCCTACCCTGTAGCTGCTCTGTAGTCTCCTACTGCTGGTGGCACTTGAACCGATCCTACAGTCTGTGTTGGCCTGGAGTGACGTGGGAAGAGTGGGTGATGGCAGTGTGATACCGTATTCCCCACACAGAGATTATATCAACATTACATTCCCTTTGTGGAATACATACATGTGACATTGGATTCCTACCTGGAGTTGCTGTGTGACACTGAATACCTCCCTGGAGTATAACACTGTGTCATCTTATGTATGACATAGTACTCCAAGATTGTAGTACAACTCTGGACAGCAGCAGTCAAAGACGGAATATAAGTAAAGTATTTCTTGAATGACGAAGTTTCCCCAGTGCCAGGAGGATACTTATCAATATTATTATACTGGCATGTATGCAGGTTGACTGTGCATTTCATGCTGGAGTATAACACTGAAGTATAACACTGGAGTATATACTGTCTGACACTGTATTCTACTGGAGTATAACACATGAGTATAAGTGGAATATATACTGACTAACTGTTATTATGTGTATTATACTGGAGTATATATTGTCTGACACTGCATTCCCTGCTGGAGTATAACACTGGAGTATAAGTGGAATATATACTGACAAACAGTGTCACCCACTCATATTGCACTGGCTGGAGTATATTTTGTCTAATACCGCATTCCCTGCTGGAGTATAAGTGGAATATATACTGACTGACAGTGTCACCCATCATATTATACTGGAACAGCCATGGATTACCTCTACGACCAACTTGCCTGTACTGTACACAAGATGTGATGACAACATTCACAGCACTGTATTCTACATTAACAGGGACGCCTGGTAGATGGGAAATTTCATGCGCAAGATTTGTGAAGCTAATGATGCCCTCGTATGCAAATTATATTTTACATATTTTCTAGTATTTTTTCACTTGGTTAGTGTTAATTTAGGTTTCATATCTCAAATGATAATGTGTCAAATGGACTTAACTCTTCTTCCTTGTGTCGGGGCAGAACACTGGGGTGGAGAGACATGGTTGGAAGGGCCCATTTTGGCCCACTGAAAATGTCAAATTTACAGGTGTGAGGAAAAAATAAAAATATGACTACTATTTTTTGCTTACTTCTGATTCGATCAAATTCATAATATGGCTGAAAGTTTCCAAACTTCACGAGAAGGTATAAGTGTGAGAAAATCTCTGGTCAAAGATGAATTTTTTGCCTCATATTTGTATTGTTATGACCTACAACTCCCAGTAAGGTATCGCCTGGGTCAGACCTGCTAATACGCAAATATTTATAGAAATGCTTCCTGAAAACCTCCAAGATCTGCCTTTTGGGCATATTTTAGCCTCAACTAGTGTTCTTCAGCTCCCAGACATACAGTTGTTAAGATGAACAAAGTTTCAGTCTCTTTCTTATAAATATTTTGTAAAGGTTTAATTCTCAGATTTGAACATCCCATGGACCATAAAGACCTGTTATCCTTCTTTGACTTTTGCTGTATATACAGTTCAGGAGAAGTTGAGGTGAAAATCCTCTATAAGGTGTACACATCTTTGCTATAGGAAGTAGTTCTGTGTCATTACTCCATACGGACTCATGGATTTCCTCCCAACATTTGCTGTACCCTGATCAATAGCCCACCACAGGTGAATGATTAATGGAAGTCATCATGCCATCTTGCATTCTGTAGACCCCAGATGTCACTTGTTTAAGTGTTTTTCAGTTTCCTTCACTCTTCAGCCATGTTGAGTGCTCCCCGGATACGTCAAATCCTTAGATACCACATAATTCCTGCTGACATCCCATCTATTACATCACTGCAATTTATCTTGCATTTTGGCCGTGTCACAGTGAATCCTTCAGATTTTCAACAAAACTTCTTCGATCAGTGTCAAATAATCCAATGTCAGCAGCATGAAGAAACGCATAAATACCATATGAAGTTGTTAGGAATAGTTTGATCAGAACAGTGACAAATTAGATATATGTTTTCTGTTTCTTTATCACAATGACTTAAATTGGTAGGATGTATCAATGAACTGATTGTATTCATTATCTAGATCATGTTCTGGATACATCTGGGGCAGTGGGGTAGCATAGTGGTTAAACTTAGCTCATCACGTTGAAGACCCAGGTTCGATTCCCCACATGCGTACAATGTGTGAAGATCATTTCTGCTGTCCCCTACCATGATACAGCTCTAACATTCCTAAAATGGTGTAAAACAATACTCACTCACTCTGTGTTGATTAGTCTCGTGTTTGGATCTTCCTTTGTTCGTGTTAAATATTCTGTTGTGTAATGACAAGAGCAAAATTTTGGTGGTTGAAGCAATATGTTCAGGAATAGTTTTTTTTTTTCAGGCTGAACAACATCGTGAGTTTCGAGACCGGATGCGAGAAGCAGAGTACCTTGGTAAGCGCCGCCCCACCTTACTGCCGGAGTACCATGCGCAGCCTGCTGTTTCGGCCGCTGAGAGGGACAGGTAGGACCCCATGCTGGAGACTTAAAGTTGGGGTGGGGTGGTGTCTCATACAGACCCTGAAACCAAAACTATCTGAATACTACTAGCTATATTTTCTGAGAATTAATGAACTATAGGGTGGATGTTTGGGTACTATTTCCTACACACCCTGAAACCAAACAACTATCTAAACTCTACAAGCTTTATTTTCTGAAACATTTGAGGGTGAACATAGAAGAGGGTTGGTAATGAAGTCAATGTTCAAAATAATCGCCGGCCCAGAGGCCCAACACCGGCTGTTATTGTATCGGGCCGGCAGTTTCAAATATTTGCAGGCCCTTGTGGCCTTCAGTAAATTATCTGTCCTTTTTTTTCAACTGGTACCTTTCCCTTCTTTTTTTCTTTATTAACATTCGGGAATCATCCATAACCCATCATGTTATGATAACTTACAGTTTCACTCCCTGGTATTTCAGCGCTAAAATAAAGCGCATAAGAATGTCAACACCAGTCTTTAACAAATAAAAACGTGTTTCTGCGCCATAGGCTTCGCTAATTGATTTTGAAGAAACAGTGTGAAACTTTGTACTGTGTAGTCTACTTTGTTTTTATTGGTTTGACTTTAACAAAATGGGCCTGCAGATTTTATTCATGGCCTGTAGATTTTAAAGCCTGCAGGCGGCAGCAGACCCTGATGGCCAACTGTGGCAAATTAAAGTATTGCAAGCACTGGATGGGGTGGTATCTCCTTCACACCCCACACCCTCAAGTGGAGTGGTATCTGAAACCTGATAACCCCAAACCTCTCCCCCCCCCAAAAAAAATAAAATCTAAACACATCTAGCTGTGTTTTCTGTACCAGTTGAGGACAAACATAGAAGAAGTCCTTGTGGTGTAGTATCACCTTTATAGGCTGAAACCAAAAATGTCTGAATACCAAAGTTGTATTTTCTGTAAGACTTGATGATTATCACACAAGATAGGTGATGGCGGAGTAGCCTCTCATACTAACCCTCAATTGTCCAAACTGTTAGCATAGTCATGGCTTGACCCTGATAAAAAATATATCTGAATGTTGCCAGCTATGCGGATGAACATACTAGAGGTAATGTCTCAAAAACAAACAAAAAAACTGAAAACAAAGATCTCATTCAAGTTTGATAATAATATGGATGGATGGATGGGGGGATTAAATATTCAGAAAATTGTGAAATTGTCCTTGTGCCACAACTTGCTGACTGATGGTTCATTTGATTATTAGGTTTTGCCAGAGGCCATATATGAGTGTATGGTCTCTAGAATTTTTAAGAGATTGATAGTGTTGAATATCTTGAAGTTTCACAAATGGCGGATATGGCTAATATTTCATTTCATCTGCACATGACATTTAAGATTTGTTTGAAGTAAACAATTTAATCATTTGTTAGGATTGCTTCAGAAAGTGATGACAAAAATTAAACTAAAAAATCTATGTGTATTAGTGCATTGTGATAGGTATTATTTTGTATCAAAAATTGCATTGTGTAATTTAGTGTATCATTTTAAATTTTGTCATACTTTTTAACATGAAGAAGATATATTTGGCCGAGTGTCTTGTTATATGTATGACTTCGCTATGTCGTTCCTTCTCTAATGTCATCCAAGGGGTTCTTGTTACACTGTATCGTGACTTTGGTGTATAATGTCAGACATATTTGATCTAGGGAAGTTTAGTGTTGATATGATGAACAGAGGCAGAGGCTTAATGTTCAACTTGTAAATACCTTCTTCAACTTCCAGTACTGCTGGAAATCTGGATTCTTAGGGTGCAGCTTGGTACAAACCCACTCATGTGAGTCACCTTGTCTAACGACAAAGGTATCCAGAGGGCTTTAGATTTTCAGGCTCTTTAGTGGTTGCTGTATATTTTATCGTTATTCTGGACTGTAAATATCTGGTTAACTTGTATCACTAAATACAAGTAGCAATTGCTGAAATAATAATAATAATTAGAAGATTGATATCGCATGTTTCTGTGCTTCATATCCTGCTAAAAGTGCACAATAAGGATGTTCAAAGCAAACAATCTGATATTTATTCATATGACTTATCCCACTGGGTACCCAATTTCTACTGGGTGAACAGAGGCAATTTTGAACTTGCCTTAGAAATAGGGTCCATCAGTCTGTTTTGACTTATCTGCAGCTATTTTTGAGCTCGTTGCTTATACAAAATAAGTACATCCTGGGAGGTAGTTCGTCTAAATATTCTCTAGTCTGGTACAAACAAACCAGTGGCTGTGTCTGTGACTGAGTTGCCCCAAGCAGGGATCTTCTCGAAGTATCTCAGCAATTCTTATTAGCATATCCAAAAGAAATCAAGGATTCTTGTAGTTGACATTGCAGCTGAAGACAGACATGAAGTAAATTAATCATTCTGTGAAACAAAGCTGAATCAGCAAGTTTCAGACTGAAATATTTAGCAGTTTTGAGGAGGAGACAAATACTTGATCAGAAAAAGAATATGCCACAGAAATATTGAGAGTTATTCCAGCTAGCTCTTGCATGGCGGGGCGGGGAAGATAGGGGGTTTAAGATAAATAATAGTGAAGCACAACATGTATCATGTCGTAGTATTTATGATAGCCTTGCTCCAAGGCTGTACTAAGTGCTAAACCCATGGATGTATAGTAATTCTTTCCTTTAAAGAAACAAGTCTAGATAAGCAGATCTCAGTCTGTTATTTATAGTATTTTTAGAATGTATCATTTAAACTATTAATTTTTACCTTAGAGTTAGAGACTTGTTCAAGTCTATGTTAAGGATGCTTGTTCATTGTATACACAGTTGGGGCAGTTACCTTGTCACGCATAAGGCACAGGATAAATTAAATGTACATTGTGAGAATCTGTGAGATAACAGGTGTACTGTTCAAAGCAGTGGAAGTCTAAAATCCACATCACTTCTGTCTTTACAGCCACCCACGTCAAGCTGATTGGACGTGATCAAACTGTCAATGCAGATCCAAACTGACTCTCTTTGTTCTTTTGAATGAAACTGATTACAAAAATAGAATTGCTTGACTTTGTCCACCGGGTCATCACTGATTATGTTTGTTATGTTTCGTAGGTACCATGGTTCATTCTGGACTAAAAGTTTATATGGCATGACTTGATTTGGGGAGATAAAGGTTGCCCAAATAGATATTGACTAGGCTCAGGAATAATGTGGTGACTAGTGGTTTGATGAAACCCTTGTAATTGTACAGATTTTAAATTTGTTGTGTGACCTCTAAAGTCAATGTTAGAATGACCTTCAGCAACCATGATGCTCATGACATGATTTCAATCTCTGGATTGTCTGTAGCTGACTATGATATGCAACATCGATGTTCATGATTTCAATCACTGGATTGTTTAGTCCAGACTGGTTGAGATATTAGAAAGTGCATTGTTAACTTTAGACATTGTTTGTTCATAAATGGTAGTTCTGCAAGATGTTTTCTTGTTTGGTTACCAGTCCACTAGTGGTTTTATCAACCTTTGTAATGAGTGAGTGAGTGAGTTCACTTTTACGCCGGTTTTTGCAATATTCCAGCAATATCACGGCAGGGGACACCAGAAATGGGCTTCAAACTTTGTAATGATGTCTGTGGTTGATCTGATGTAATATGTTTGTTCCTGTACGTGCCGAAACCCAGAGGTCTGTTGTGGAGATATTGGTGCAACTCTTCAGCACCTTTGATCCAAGATTGCACTAGGACACTTCACTGTGGGTAATGTTAGAGATTTCCTGTTTCTCAGACCGATCGTATGGTTTACACACATGCACTGGGGGCTCCTTGTCGTGGCGAACCTTCCCCTGGCCTCATGTCAAGTGTTAGATCAATGGCACGCTGTGTCGCCAAGGGGGATGTGTGGTAGACTCCATGTTTCTTCTCCTAACTCACACTATCTGTCACACTGACAAGAAACACAATCTGACAAATGGGATGAACATTCCTAAAATATCTTACGTTTTACTTGTTTGATCATAATTGTGTTTGAAAATAGGGTATTCCTATTTATAGATGTAGTATGTTTATTTCCTAAATACATCCAACATTGTTTAAGCGTTGCTTTACCATTTAAGACGTATTTCAGCAACTTTCCGTTCCTGTCACACGATTGTGTTTGGACAAATATTTATTGAAATGCATCAAGTGCAATGTTCATGTCATTACTCATCATTGTGTAATATTACTTGCCAAGTAACTCCTTCACTATGTAATATTACTTGCCAAGTAACTCCTTCACTATGTAATATTACTTGCCAAGTAACTCCTTCACTATGTAATATTACTTGCCAAGTAACTCCTTCACTATGTAATATTACTTGCCAAGTAACTCCTTCACTATGTAATATTACTTGCCAAGTAACTCCTTCACTATGTAATATTACTTGCCAAGTAACTCCTTCACTATGTAATATTACTTGCCAAGTAACTCCTTCACTATGTAATATTACTTGCCAAGTAACTCCTTCACTATGTAATATTACTTGCCAAGTAACTCCTTCACTATGTAATATTACTTGCCAAGTAACTCCTTCACTATGTAATATTACTTGCCAAGTAACTCCTTCACTATGTAATATTACTTGCCAAGTAACTCCTTCACTATGAAACATTTCTTGCCCCTTTTCATATCACCCCTTAACAATGGAATATGCTATATCTTATATATCATTCCTTCACTATGTAATATTACTTGCCAAATACATTTCTTGGTCCATTCTCATATTGCCCTTTCACCATGGAATATCACCATTTCACTATAATGAAATATTTCTTGCCAAAAAAATCTCTTTCACTATGAAATATATTTCTTGCCGTCTTTTCATATCACCCCTTGAGTATGGAATATTCCATGCCATATCACCACTTTACTATGTAATATTTCTTGCCAAATAACTCTTTCACAATGCAATGCTTTAAAAATTCTGTTTCATGTATATGGAAATGTCAGGAGTGATGTTAAATGTGAAGGAAGCATAAAAGGAGAA